CCTTCCTTCCTTCCTTCCTTCCTTCCTTCCTTCCTACCTACCTACCTACCTACCTACCTACCTACAATATACGCTCACCATTTGCCCTTCCCTCATGACCTTCAGGAGAACCCCCGTCAAGCCTCCTCGACTGACCCACAGAACTGCCTGCCACTTTGCTGGGGGAGGTGGAACAAAGGGAGCTGCAGACTGTGAGGAATACTGCACCCCTGCTTTCCATTATGGTGTATCCCAAAGGCCCCCTCCCTTGACCACTGGCGCCTCCCCCACCCCACCCCAGCCAGGCCTATCTCACCAGCAGGCATCCAAGTCACTCCCTCGTCCTTCCCTCAACACCCACAGCCTTTAAGAGATTTCAAATTTCGACCTTGGTTGCAAAGCAGCCAGTCGCCACTCACCTGTTAGGCCTTGCTGCCAGCTGATTGAGCACAGGGGCTAGAGGGAGGTGGGAAAGAGATCAGGAATCTCTTCCCCTTCCCCTTCCTTCCTTTCCACATATAATGTAGACTTGCACCATTTGCCCTCCCCTCATGACCCTTAGGAAAGCCCTGCTGGTAAAGCCTCCTCCTCCTCCTTCTCCTCCTCCCTCTCCTCCTCAGCTGACTAATGGAACTGCCTGCCACTTTGCTGGGGTGAGGTGGAACAAAGGGAGCTGCAGCCCATGAGGAAGACTGCACCCCTGCTCCCCATTCTGGCATGTCCCCAAGGGCCCCCTCCCTCGAGGGAGGAAGAAGGCTCACCCGTCAACCACCAGCACCCTCCGAGCCAGGTCTACCTCACCAGCAGGCATCCAAGTTGCTCCCTTACCCTTTCCTCGACTCCGACAGCCATTAAGAGATTTCAGATCTCTGACTTGTTTCCAAAGCAGCCAATCGCCACTCACCCATCGGGCCTTGCTGCCAGCCGATTGGGCGCAGGAGACAGAGGGAGATGGGAGAGAGGTCGGGGATATGCTCATGACAATCATGGACCTGGGCTGACCACAGGAGCACAGAAGTGCTGAAGCAGCCACAAATTTCCCAAATTTTGATCCCACAGGAGTAATGGGTCTTGAATTTTGGGTGTGTTCTGTAAGTTAGCCTATTTGAGGTACCTTGATTCAAAAATTGTTGCCCAGTTGAAAAGTACAGACATAAGTTTTAGTAGTATAGATTATTATTGTTATTGTTGGTCACACAGTCAGCCAGATGTTTAGACTGGATTTGGCATTTTTATCCACCTATCAAATCCTTCCCAAGGACCTGAGATAGGCAGATGATGATGATGATTTCCTGCCTTTGTTTTGGTACCACTCACGGCAGCATACCTAATGGCCTCCTATTTTCCCCACAACAACAAACCTGTGTGATGGTTGGGCTGAGAGAGAATGACTGGCCCAAAGTCAACCCAGTGACCTTCATGCTTAAGGGAGCACTAGAACTCATGGTCTCCAGGTTTTCAGCCTAGTACCTTAACCTCTACACTAAACTGGTTCTCTGAAAGAAAGACAGGAGCAAGAGTGTGTGGGTGTACACCTCTGTAGGTGTGAATGTGCTGGAATGAAAGGTGGTGGCTATAACATAGCATTCCTCAATCTTGTGCCTTCTAGATATGTTAGACTACAATTTTCATAATTCTCAACTTTGGGAATTGATATCCAACATAACTGAGGGTACACTAAGTTGTAGAAAGATACTTGTAGCATACATATGTCTGCTAAAAGTTTAATGTCAAAATAACCACTATTTTTATCACTGTTATGCAGATACCAGGGCAGTTACGTACCTTACAAGAGTGTTATGTTCTTTAGTCAATCAACAGCTTGAGCTCTGTCTTCAGCCATCATCTGTATGACTATTTTTGAAGATGGATGTGTGTTTAGCTTGATTGCAATGCAAAGTTGTCTTTTTTGCTTTTTTCATATTGAAATCTGGGTCAAACAACATATGAATTCTGAGCAAGGCATACTGTGAGCACAGCACAGTAGAGTTAGAACATTTCCCCAAAATGAATATTTGCATCACTACCTTTTGTTGATTATTGTAATTTTTTCTTTCTACTTACTGCTAAGAAATACATTGTATTTTAAGATAATGCAGGGTTTTTTTTCTCCCTCAAATGGAAAATGTGTTTGATTTTAAATGTCTATATATCTGTTGTAGATGTCACTCTTCCTCGCCTCAAGGCCTTTATTTCACAGCTGTTGTCACGGTTACATATTGAAGCACTTCTCCATGGCAATATAACAAAACAGGTTGGTTTTGATGTGTTTTTAAAGGTTACTTAATTTCCCCAGATTTTTTTTTAATTTTAGCTTGGATTTTTTAAAATTTTAGATTATAACTTTATTAGTGTATTATATTGTGGAGCCTTAATGTTCAGTACTGCAGTATTAATTACTGTAAATTTATCATATCTATAAATTAGAGGATAAATAGAGTGTTACTTATACAATATTGGCATGAGATACATGTTTTGGAAGTGGGCATTATCTGTTTCCTGCTGAGGATAGCTAAATTCAGTTATTTTTGTGTTGCATCTTACGCATGCTTTCATCTTCTAGGACAATTTAGATATGTGATAGTTGGTTTTTCTAATATTTCTGCAAAACTCATTCATTTAGCTTAAGGCTCACTAAATTTAATGGGACTTATTTCCAACTAAACATGTTTAGAATTGAGCTGTGAGATGTTTGTCTCTTTTATAATAAAATTATAATGTCAGACTATTTACCATTTCTCAAACTGATGGTATATAATCTGAGTAGAAAACAATTTAAAGTAGCCAAGAATGTCTAAGTAATAGTATGCAAGGCTGCAAATAATAAACATATTCTTTTTGTAGTATTAAAATGCTTGTTGGTAGCAGGAATGCTACAGCTTTGAAAACGAATATATTAACTTGGCAAGGATACCTTAATGCACCAGAAATAATGGTCATCCTGATAATACAAAACCAGTTGGCTTCTGTGCCAACTTACTAAGTAACACTAGCCCTATGTATTTGTATAAAACATAATAGAAATGTTTTGAAATATAAGTCAACAATGCATTTAGAAAAATCTACACACAGTGTATTTGTAGATGTCTGAACTATACTATAGATAAAATGATGTTCTTTTGTATTAGCAGACAATGGATTGTATATATCTTGAAATGATTTCACATACTTCTACTTGTATGTAATGCCACAGTTAATTGTAGTGCCACAGTGAAGCATAAAGCAATATAACTGAAAGCAATGTAAAAGACAAGCTATAAGAGTTGTCCAAGAGAGCAATTAAAGGTAAAGAAAAGTTGTTTGAGCTTTCTCAGAGTTGACCAGACCAAGATGATAGAATCCTGATGTGAGATCTGTGACTATTGCAGGCAAAACCAAAACTAGTCCAATTTCTGACCTTCTGAATTAGTTCAGGTAATCTAAGTTATCTTTAAAACCAGTCTTAAAAAATGCTCCCCCCCAACGATTCTGAGCAAAAAAATGCATGAGTAAAGTGATATCAGCATGTTAGCAAATTCCTTTGCCTAGTTGGTCAAGAAGTGAGTACTTTGTGAGCAGTGAAACCTTTGGACGTACTCATGCTTATTCATTTGTTCTCATAGTTTTCTTGGAAACAGTTTTGAGACCCAAGAGAAAATTCTCCAAAAAACTCCTCAGCCAATAATAATACCATATGGTCCTTTGCCCTGACTTTTACCATTATTCAGAATTAGATCATATCTGAAACGCTCCTTGAGAGAGAGATTGCTGATACCCTGCATACTCATTGATAGGTAGCATAGGCCAATAGGGGAGAGTGAGAGGTAAGGAGTTCTATTCCATTGTTGTGCTCATGGCTTTTCTTTCATTAGAATCTCTTGAAAAAGGATACCAGCCTGTCAGTTAAATAGTCTCTTAAAAAAAAAAAAAAAAAAGTAAAAAAAGTGTTACGGTAATCTTGTGTTGGAAGATTATTAGAAAATAAGACATTGTAGGAGGAAAGCCATGTTAGTTTATGGGGGCAAAATATCAGGAGTCTGGTAGCGTCTTTTCAGTTTAACAAATTATATTATAAGATACGAGCTTTCATGAGCGGCAGTTCACTTCATCAGATGCATGTTATTAAATAATTTTTATTTTATATATTTTTAGTCATCTTGTTTCTCTCATAAACACTTTTGATTCTGAATTGGTTTGGCCGTTCTATTGTTAGCCTCTCTGCATGGTACCTATTCATTAGAAGGGCAGGATATAAATTTGTATATAATTAGGAAAAATGAAAGGCATCTTGTGATTCATCTAGCTGTATGGCACTGTCCCATTCACATGAAACAGACAGGACCCAGGAATGGGTCCTTAACCATGGCAGCGCCCTAGGGAAATGCCAGTTCCAATAAACCTGCAAAGTTCTCTGTGCACAAAACTGGGGAAAAAGGGTAGCTACAGCCGATGCAAGCCAGGGGGGGTGAGGTGGGAATATATGGGATATGTATCATAAATGAAAAGGATAATGAACCAAACAACGATTTCATCTTAAATACTGAGAACAGAAA